AAAATATTTTTTCAATCCACCTATTATTTAAAAAAACCCCAATTTATTACTTAAATATATTTTATACTCTCTTGATATTTACAGTAGCTATTATTTAGAGTAGTCATATGCTAATCAGTTTAATTGTGTGTGAAATGGTAGACTTCTACAAAATGACAAAACTAATAAAAATGATCAAATAAGGGAATACTGAAGGAGGCAGAATCTTTATGTCAGTGCTAGCTATTGCTTAAGGAAACCACAGAGATGTTCAAGCAGGCATGTACCTCTGAATACCATGAAAGCAACTTGCCAAAACCCCAATGTGGCTAAATGACTGATGTCCAGCGATAGCTACACCAAAGTGCAGCCCTTTTGAATTCTGGGGTCCAGCTCCAAAATTAACTATTGAAAACAGCCTCAGGAATAGTAAACTACAGCAGACAGAGGAATTAGAAAGGTTGTTATGGCTCTAAATAGATCTGCGGATTTCATGTGACACCAGAGGTTAAAGGGAATAATCAAAGAAGATTTAGGCCATCCTAGGAAGGGGAATGTTGTCTTCTCTACTTCAGTTTTAAGCTGGAGAACATAATGGGAAGACAGGTACCCTTGACCTAACCTTTTTTAGTAGTGAAAATAAAACATTCTCTCAGACAGAAAAGTATAAGACAAATCTGAGCAATCCTATAATTTTAAAAGCATAAGAGTCATCATGTCCAGGTGGCATACCCAAGAACTCTGAAAGCACTAGGCTGTTAGTTAAAATATGCAGCTTTCCTGAGAGATCTGAAGGGTCAAAATAGTGCACCTGTATTTAAACTACAACTCTACAGTGCTGTCCCCAGGCACTCCCAATGCGTGTTTTAATCAAGACTGGACTGGAAAGGATAGCTCAGGAGAGTCTCAAGTAAATGCCTCAGTATCTGCTAGAAACCAGTATCAGACCCCTATCACCCATGATCTCTGCACTGAGGAAACTCTAAAAACAGCCAAACTTTAATGTCACGTATTCTTGTATATATTGCCTAGATATGCCCTGACCCAGCCACAGCAAGAGGCTCCAGTGGATACTGCCCTCATCACTCCCTGGGCATGCTGGCGTACACAGGAAGAAAACTTGGGTACAAGTGCAGGAAGGGAGCCAGGACATGCTCTAATGAAGTTCCTGGTCTGGATGTGATATTGGAGCATGCTGCAATACACACTACAGCTCAATTTAAGCACAGTTTGAATGATCCGGTCACTAGAAGAACATAAAATCACTCGGTTTGAATTATATAAAACAGATACACAGATAATGCAGAGAACCTGCATCCAGTCAACCACACTACAATAAAACACCTTACTGGTTAATGGTAAGAAAGAATCTGGTCAGCAAAGTTTCTGCAAAGAGCCATCATTTCTTGCTGAGCTGATATAAAATACTGTCTTGATTTTGTCAAAATAGCAACAAGGCAGAACTGATGGCAATCATTCTTTGACATTTAAAATTCCTTAAATATTCTCCTTCATGAAAGGCTGCCAAAAAAAAATTAAGAAACTTGCCTTTATCTCTCAGATATATCTGTTTAACTGCTTAATAGCCCAAACGTGCAAGAGGTAGCATCTTCACTTCTGAGTACCCATTGTGCTGTGATACCAGCAAGGAAAAATCATTTACCTGTAGTTATTCTCCTAATGCACTTACACAGGAAATCCCAATTGTGTATAGGGACTGTCTTCCAAAATAGATCATATGAAAGTGTCACATAGGCTGGCATTCATAAGCAATCACACAGTGATGCCTGAAAGGCCTTTCCAAAAAATGAATTTGACATCTCTGGCCTTTCTCTGGGACAGAAGCCAGGCACTTCTACCAGAAAAGTAATTTATATATAACATCACTTTTATTCTTTCTTATGTAACTTTAAGGGTATTCCAAATTCAGGAGCTGATTTACTAAACAACTCATAGTGAAATCACTGTAAGAACCGTAGTAACTTCAAATGATGTGAAGAGCTGCAGTGGACTCTGTATTGGACATCACAAATTCAAATTATTTGTTAAGCCTGAAATGCCTGAAGAGACTAAACATGCTTTTGATACTTATCTTTGATTTAGTTATTCTTTAAGTCATCTAGACAGTTTCTAAAACAATGAATTATTCAGTGACTTTCAATTCTTTCATACAGCTAATCCATATCTCTGTAATAAAAAGGTCATTTATTTTCAACAGTTAATACTGGATTCACTATACAAATAAATTAGCCATCTCAGTATATGATCAAGTTCACAAAACTCACATGGCATTGAAAGCATGAATATAATACATAAAGCCACGATGATAAGTGTACACATACACACACATATATGTACAAAATTGGATAGATTCTTCAGCTATACAGAGATGGATAGAATGATAGACAGAAGGAAACTCATTTGGGTTTCTTATATAGGTCTGTCTGTCCAGGATTTCCTCTTCCTCTTTTTGGAGGGAGAGAGATTTTGAATACAGCAACTCCATTTTAAAAACGTACAATATCAAGACATCATATACATTGCAATATGTTTTACATATATTATCTGGGTAAGTTTATTTTTCACAGATGGAACGAGCTTTCAAATTTTCTGGAGTCGCAAAAGACCATTGTATCCAGTCCATTGGTATTTTTTACATTATTTTGCTCGGACCCCTGCTATTATATTCCAAGTAAGATTAATTCAAGGAATAGCTACAGGCCTTAAAATCAAAGTTTACAGCATTTGCAACTCACTGCACACACTTATCTTCACACAGTGTTGTTTTCCCCCGTGTCTCTCTTTCCTCCCTCTCTGATAAGCTCACACTTCACTCCACCATTCCCATTATAGGAATAAGAACAGGGCAATGTTTCTATTCCTGTCTTTGCCACTGACTCACTGTATAGTTTCTTAAGCATTTGCAACTTGCACTTGGATCCTCTGGTATCTAAGAAGATGAAGTGTCTGTTGATGTTTTCTTTAGGATAAGAACATTCATAATGTCTCTCTCTGTGTGGATTCTCTTGTGTTTAATAAGGGTTGAGTCCACACTGCAATCTTCCTATCCGTGAGGATATTAGTAGGGGTTCTGACTTCTACCCAGATGCCTACTTTAATTACAATTGTAGGAAATTAATTTTGCAAGACATCCACCTCAGTCAGATTTGACTTCAGCCAACAGCCTCAAAACTTGGAGGCAGGGCACTCACATAAAAACACATGCACAAAACCCAGCACGATCCCACACACTTCCCTCTATAATGCATGCTAAAAAGAAGCTAGAGATACTTTTAGAGCATAATGAGATCCTGGGAACTGGAGATACACGGAGACACTGAAAACAGTTGTTTTTATAAGGATAATGCTAGCTACCTTCTGCTACAGAGCCCTGTAGCACTACTATCTGCTGAATATGCAAAAGCATTGCTCTTTCCTTTTCAGTGCTATAGTGCCTTAATTCCATACACTGTCCCATTTTCAATTTTTCACAAATATATTCTGTTCTTTAGGGTCATTTTATTGATTGTTAATTAAGAGTAAATGTACTGAGTCAAATTAGCAAGTATGTAGATAATTCTTACAAAATAAGATTTAGTCCTTAGTATTGGAATGAAAATCAGAGACCTACTGTGGTGTGCAGATATTGGCAAAATCCACGTATGTGGAACTACAGATAGCTCTGAATAAGACAAGTGTGGAGTTGGCTCTTATCTTACAGCCCATGCTATTTTGACAGCTACTACTGTTTTAACAAAGTATATATTTTATCAGAGAAGATTCTAGATAAACTATTTGAATTATGATTTAATCTTATAGACAAACACATTAACAAGAAATGTATTCCAATTTTCAGGGTCACAGCAGGACTGTCAGGAGGACTAACACAGTGGGCTGCTGATGCCCTGTGTCTCCTAACACACTGTGTCTCCGAGGCACAAAGCACATCTTAAAAAACATGACCAAATGTCAACAATCTGCTATGAACTGGTACAATCCAGCTAATTTATCTTAAATATGCTGATTTTTACGGGCTATTTTTCCAGCTTTGCTGTTCAAAATTTGTTTAAAAAATTTCTGGACTCTGTTCTAATTACCAAGAATACCATAACAGTACAATGGAAACCAGATACTAATAGCTTGAAAATTATTTATATTGGCACTAGTGGATGAAGTAGTTTTAATAAGGAGACAAAAAGAAAATATAAGACGCCTCATCTAAAACAAAATACCTGTTTGCCATGTTGATTAATTCCATGAGTTGATTTTTTCTATTCACATCTCAGTCTCTTTTTTCTCATTACAGGATTACAGTATAAATTCTTCCAAAATAAAGGATTATACCGTATTTGCATTAGGATACTTTATTGAAAGTAGGTTGCAAATATATTTCTATGACAACATGTATATTATTATAAGAGCAAACGGAAGACTGTTGAAATACATCAGAAAAACCTTTGGCTGAAGAACAGAGGCAGGTTTTGGGTACTCGTGTCTGAGGAAATCTATGAACAACCTTCTGTCAAAATGCAACAAATCCAAACTAGGGACGTTTTAGGTTTCTATGCTTTTGGTTTCTTTACACAAGATTTCAATTCAAAGGAGGAAAAAAAAAAAAAAAAGCAAAAAAGCAAAAAGCAAAATCCTGCTTTGGTGAAAACACAGTTCGTACACTCAGATTTGGTAACATTCTCAGCGTAAACAGGCGCGAAGTGCTATCCTGCCCTTTAAGGAACCTGAGATTTGATGGTGGTCTCCACGAGGAGATCGTTGGGAAGCGCCGCATCCTGGTCCCTGACACTCACGCAGGCACCGGCTGAAGACTGGAGAAGGGCTCTTCCCAGGGCCATGCTGTGGGGGTCTCCCTCCGTGCAGTGGCGGAGGTCGCTTGATCCTGGGGACCGTCCCCGGCGGCACCAGGCTCCGGCTCCCTCCCGCTGGCGGGGACCTGCCGCCCGCCGCCCCGCGC